GATCTGCCTGTTCTGTTCCCTACTCTGTCTCTGGTGAAGCCTCTCACCACCCCTGAGCCTCTGGCCTGTACCCCAGTTCTGTGTGCAGAAATGAAAAAAAAAAACAGTGGAGGGAAGGAAATGCACTGGATTATGGTGATGGCACATGGGTGATTTGGTGATGGGAAGCCCACAGGGATTACAACTGAGATGGAAAACAGCACAAAATGATGTAAAAACAAACTATTATATTACAAAAAAAAATTAGAAATGGACATCACTTTTAAGGTGGAAAAAAGAGGAAATATTTGACAAAATACTTTTTAAATGCATGGTAAGAAAGAATGCATGTCCCAAGAAAGATACTAGAGAAATTCAAGAAGTGGTACTTAACATGGGATCAATGACTTCCTGTTTAATGACCCTTAATAGTACACAGAAAATTATGTGATGTGTCACAGATCCACATATATGCACATTTTCTGGTTAGAGGACTTATCAGACAGTTAAATAATTTCTCCAAAAGACTAGGTAAACAGACAAAAACCTGCACTGAGAAGGAAATTTTATTCCATTATAGTACTTAGGAAAGACTGTGGAGACGTATCATTTGGAAGATAAGCAAAATCTGGGTATTTGGACATAGGGGTAGAGTGTGAACAGGATGTTCTTAGTTAAAGAAAAATAAAAACAGAAATGGAAGTAGTTTCTGCATTCAATTTTTCCTCATTTGCCTTAAGTTGCATACTTACAGTAAACCTCTTCTTCTTCTCTCTGTGTTCATCAGAGCTGGGAATGCTTACACTGGGGCAGCTTTCCTTGTAGTCCATGGTATTATATTTTTGGGTGAACTGCCTCAAATGGACACCAAAAAATGAGTTCAAATAGTCAGCAGAGGACAAATACGAGTAGCTATTCCAAAACATAAAACCTCTTGTGGCAATGTTCAAATTCCATCATGCACCTTAACCAACAGAAAAAAAAAGGGGGGGGGGTTAGCAAAACATTTAAAAAATATCATGATTTGCCTGTCATTCCTGGCTCACAGGACCCAATTTATGCTTATTCTGACAGTGAATTAACTCTTGGCTACAAGTCTCAGCCCAGGTTAGAAATTTAGCTTCTATTATCTCTATCAATAGCTAAGCCACAATCAAACACTGACATCCCATCTACTTTCTTACTACTAAAAAAAAATTCTGGAAGCTTATACACACCACAGTTCACACAAAGTTAGAGCTAAAAGACTCTACTGTAATGGAGTCAGTGCAGCGTTCTTCTATGGTTTTCAGATTTCTTGTATCAAGATGACCAGTTGGCACCTGTTCAGATTAGGATACTACACAGCAGGTATTTACCTGCATTGTACGAATGAGGCAAATGAGACACAGAGAGATTAGAGAATTTACCCATGTAGGACTTGGACCCAGACTGGCTGGCACCAGACAATTAACCACTGCACTGTTTCATTTTAACAGCTGCATATAAGTCTTATGCACTGGACCTCTGGTAAGATTTTTATACAGAATAAATGCAATACGTTAATACTATCATTCAGTCCCTGAACCAAGGGCTCCAGATGTCCCAATGATGACAAT